TTCTTCATAAATTTTAAACGTAAATTTTTAATTACAAGATAGATTTGTTTAAAAGATTTTTAATCACTTGACATTTAGGGATAATAATATTTTCTTTATTCTCCGAGATGCTTGATTCAGATTGAGATATATAATAAAATATATTTGAAAACTCTCGGTTGGATGAAAGGATCAAGATTAATTAAGAAATAATAAATAATGATGGAACGGTTGATTATTTTGTATCATTTGGAATGTGCTGTTTTAGAATTAAAACATGGTTATTAGGTTTAAAATGGATACACAGCTATAATGTTTCTTTTATTTCAGATTGTTGTTTCAAAGGATTCTAATGTACAACAAAAAAATATGGTTCAAATGTAACAGGAATCAAAATGTTCATGGAATTACAGAAGAAAAGAAGAAATAAATCTGCTTCGTTTATCATCTATCAACCAGAAATGATTGAATCTAACACTCTTGAATAACTCTCCAGTATCGCCTGCCCCACATCCTGCAAAACCCAGATTTTCCCTTAATTTCTTATCATTAGAGGTCAAAAAGATTGCATGATATTGAGGAAAGCAATTTAGAGAAAATACCAGTTTTGATCACTTACCCTGTTGTATTGAATTTTGCAGGTGTCTAAGGACGTTTGTGAAAGTTCGGGATACCTTTGCTTCAATGGAAATAGCAAGCTCTCTGCTCTTTCAGCTAATATATGGTTTTTGTCGCTCCGATCGACGTCGGACATTAAGTCTTTCATCATGCTCCACGATGATTTCGAATGGCTAGTGCATGCTTTACTTCTCCATGTATACATCGAAGCTTCGACACAGTCTGAAAGCTCGAGTGCTTCTTGTTCGGATGCTATATTGAGACAATCGAGCAGATATTCAGGGGAGAATTTTTCTGCGGAATACATGAAGCGGAAAATTGCATCTCCAATACTGGCTCTTCCACTCTGTCGGTAAGAGGAAAAGAGGGTTAGAGATTGAACCGGGAGTTACAACCGAACATCAATCAACTTTGATAAGTGATTGCATGAACTAACTGAGCTAAGCTATGGGTTCAATATATACATGAATGGAACATTTGTGTATATACAATTTAGTCACCAGGACTAACCTTTGGAAGGGATGCCATGTACGAGTCTGGGATTTCCATCTCAGAAAGAACACTACTGTTGATAGACATGGCCGTCTTGTGAATTTGATTAGCACACTCTCGTTTGTGTCGCAAGTGCTTCCTTGCTTTCTCAGAGAGACCACTCGGAGGAACACATGGCACTGGCACCCACCATTTCTCGTTGTTTCTCTGAACAACTCTTCGAAACGAGCCAGTACGGGTCAAATTTGACGACAAACTGTTTCTCTGTCCTGGAAGCTGTCAAGTATTTCCTGTTAAAAGGATGTGAGCTATGAGATAAAAGCTTTTCAAGTATAATAAAAGTCATTAATTTTCTCACGTAGAGCTTATCTTACAATGAGCATTGCATCCAACTTCCTCAATGCTGGAAGATTGATGTAATTATCTGATCTCGGTCTGCTTTCCATTATCTAAAAGGGTAAGAAAAAAAAAATCATGTTAAAACAATCAAAGATGAAAATTTTCCATCAAATGAAAGCTTTTGGTGTGGACTATGAAACGTTACCTCAACAGCTGTTCCATTGCGCAATTTCTGTGACTTAGTGAGAGCAAATTTTTGGGATATTATTCGAACGCAGGAGCAGAAAGTTCCTTGTCATCGCTTAATTTGGTTCCCAATGCATGTTTCCAAGCACAGTCTAATTGCTTGGATGGCTATCCTCGACCGTCTTCCTACTAGAGATCGTCTTCAACGTATGGGAATCTGTTCTGAAGGAGTTTAAGCTAATTGTAACTCCTTCCAAGAGACACGGAACCATCTCTCTTCTTTCTCTGCCCTTTGGCAACCGATCTCTGGAGCTCTATTCTGCTGCTTAACGGTATTTCTACTTCTTTCGCATCTTGGGATGAATTTTTAGATTGGGTTATCTCTGTTTGGAAAGGGAAGTCACTTATCACTGTCATATTGAAGTTTGTAGGGTCTGCTTTCATTTATTTTCTGTGGCAAGAAAGTAATTGCAGAATTTTCTCGGGTCGTCGGAAAAACGTTGAAGCCTTGCTCAAAGATATCAAAGAGGTCGTAGCCATTCGTCTAAGGGACAAATCCATTAATAGACTTGATAGTTTTAACCTTACTCTATGTAATGCTTGGAATATAGTTTAGCCAAATTTTTTTTTTGTTTCTTGACTGTTAATAGTTTCTTTTGTTGCTTGATTGGTTGTAGTAACATTGCTATTTTGGGTAATAAATTTTGAATTATCCAAAAAAAAATTCACAATGTAATCACAAACAGATAAAAGACAGTCCATTTATCTTTTCCAAAGTTCCTTATTTTCAGGGTTCAAAGGCTCCAACCTCAAGTTTTGTCCAAATACAGTCGCAGTAGTAATTTCAACATTCAACATAACTAAATAAGCAAATTCATAGATTCAAACGACAACTAAAAAAACAGTCATGTTGTCTGAATATATATATATCCATAAAGATTAGTTGCATTTGAGATGGTGACAGCTGTGCAGACTCCTTTTCCACTTCCTGACATGTCATCTCCAAGTAAAAGTTTTGCAAATCTTTCCTCCATCATTTCAAGTTCTATCAAACATAATTTACACCCATTAGCATGAAAAAAAACAATATAATTTAGCATGAAAGACAAATCTTTGCCATATGTTTTTACCTAAATCCAATGATTCCAATTCATCAAGCTTTTCATCAACATCGCTTTTGCGCTGCTTTGTTCCAAGCCTTGTAAGAACAGCTAGTTTCTGAGCTCCAGATCTTCTTGCCGGAAAATGAGAAGGTGAAGCTTCACTACAACAACTATGATCATCAACAGGCTCCGAAAACGCAGAGTTCCCCGAATAAGTCCGGTAATACAAGAAAGAATCACCGCTCATCGTCGAACACCCCGGAGTTTCTGTAGTTGACTGGTCATTTTGTTCAGTGGAACAAGGAGAAGGCTGATAACCCGGATCATAGTTCTCGTTGGTGTTCGACAAATTGTCCATTTGAGCTGCTGCTTTATAAGTACTAATTCTAATACTATACTCTCTGCAAATAATCATGGAATTTGGTCAGTGGGGCTCAAGATTTGAACACTTTTAAAGCATAATCAAAACAAACTGAACTGATGGGACTTTAAGACATGGTCCAAAACGTGGACTTTAATACTAATGCTTGGTGTCCTTAACAGTCATAGGTCGTTGTTTTTATCAGATTCTAACTATAATTCACTAAAATTTTAAAAAAAATGTAAAGCAAAGCCAACGGTTTGATGATAAAACAACATTCTTTTCCAATAACTCACCTTTAAAGAGTACTGCAAGTATGGAATTTGAATTCGGGAACCGTTGAGAATAGCTAGTAATCTGAGGAACGTTTGAAACAGTTCCCCCAAGCATTTCTGCTGCCGTTGTAACCTTTTCTCTCCAGAAGAAACACTTTCTTTTTGCATCCCCATGATCATGAAAAAAGGGATCTTGAGTTCTCAACCGTCTGATCGCTGACTTCTTTTTTGTTTCTTTTCTGATGAAACAACAAACAATCAAAAACCCGGTTTCAGAATCTGGGGAAAAAAGAGGGTTTGATTTGATTCTATGGAGAAAAAGAGAGCTGAAAAAGTTTCTGATAGAACAAGCAGAGTGCGCCTTAGTTGTGTGTTACATTGAATATTTATGCAGTTTTGAGGTTGGTTATATTATATGATTGCAAATTGCAAATAGTGATATAAAATTTTATAGTTTGGTGAGAGAGAATCTTAACTATTTTATTTTCTTTAATGAAAGGGTTAATTACCTCATTCATACATGAACTATACCTAATTCTCTGTTTATACATAATGTTTAAAAATTATCAATTTTCATACATGATGTTTTCTATCTTTAATGGGTTCACTCATTTTCGTCACGGAAAGTGATGTTGCACTTTAAATGGGTGCCATGTGGCACGTGGCATTCTCGTAACCTATTTCCAAAGTTCCACGTGGCATTTTGTTAAGGGTTTCAAGTCACATTCCATGACGGAAATGGATAAACCCGTTAACGATATAAAACATCATGTATGAAAACGAGAATTTTTAAACATTATGTATGAAATTGAGAATTGGGCATACTTCATGTGTGAATGGGTAATTAACCCTTAATGAAATTAAATTTTCTAATCTCCAGAGATAGTGTCAGAAACCCCATCTTTTAACCCTGAAATCGATCCATGTATTTAGAGTTCTTTTTCTATCATAGTTAGGTTACCATGTGAGGGCTCATTAGAGAAGATTAGTATAATAACTTACCTAAAATGAGCTGATTTATCACGTTATGATTGGATTATGATAAAGTCAAAAGCTTTATCTTTTAACTTATATGGAATAATTTATAAGAAATTATTCATAATTCATGTTTTGTGATTAATCTTAGATCTTTGGTGTTTAGAGTAGTAAAGCTTTTTATTTAGAATCAAATCAAGTCGAATCTCATTTCAAAAGATAATTTCTTTGGTTCATAATATTTGAAATAAAATCTTATTCAAAAAGGATCGAACTTATTTATTAGTTGCCTTTGTAATTTTTTTAATACCAAATTTAACTTGATTTTCATGGATTACAATTTACAAACATGGGAAATTTATATTTTGCTTGCATGTTCTAGAAGTTTTTATTGATAGGCCCCAAGTGGTTGGTATGGTCGGAGGTTAGCTTGGGGAGTAATAATTCATGGGTCAAATAGGAACTTATGCAAACAATGGATTTAAAAAGGGAACACAAAGCAATAATTCATTGACATGGACGTGCCTTCCATTTCTTTGAACCCTGTGGCATTTTAGGTCAAATAGAAGCTTTTGCAAAATTGGTATAAAATCTTATTTTTCAAAGTCATAAAGATTTTCAGACCAAAAGTCACAATCTTACATTAAGTCACATGCAACTGACTTCTTGTGTTGTTATTCCTCTTAATCATCTTTGTGCTCCTTTTTGGAATTCTTGAGTTTAAAGATATATAAATATGCCCGCCGTGGGAGGTTCCACAGACACCTGATGCAGCTGTAAAGTGATCTCGGTTCATCAGGCAGCGCAGCAAGTTCTTGAATCTCGTTTTCCACTTCTTTCTGCAAATTTTAACAAATGGTTTTAGTCTTCTTGGCAAGCTAACTAAATGGGAAATGGAAACTTGGGGTCTAAGCAAACTCACATTAGCAATGAATTTAAATCCAATCTTCATCTGTCCTTTATATGTATTATCTTCAAGCACTACATTGTATGGAGCTGGTCTCACTTCTATAAATCCTTTGTCGGTCCCCTCGGTAATAATTCCACCAAGGTGAATTCTGGAGGTAAAATATATTCGGGTTAGTTTCTAAATGCGAATTCAGGTATCAAGGCAATGAGAAAGGAGGTGAGAAAAAAAACATATCAGGGAGAAAGAAAGAAAATAGATTACTTGGTTTCACCAACAAATTCATTTTCTTTGAAGAATTCCTTGTCCATGATCTTGAATTTGATATAAGTCAACTTTTCCCATTCGGATTGCGGAAACTCGAACATGAATTTCTCATTCCACAGTACTTTCTTATGTTTTCCTGAATCTCAAAACACAATCGTCACGTTTCAAGAGACCCCGAAAGAACAAAAATTAGTAATTACAGGTCATCAATAGATCTAAATAAAAAGTAGAAAACAAACCTGGAGATGTTTTGCTTCTGTATTCTTTAGTTCCACACTGTAATATAACATAGTAGGCAGGTCTTCCTATGACCAAATGATCAAAAACCAAACTGTTAAAAGTTAGAACAAAAAGCTGTTGAAAAAAAAACATGATAAAACAGGACACATTTACGATCCACGGCTGGGGGGGGAGAGAGATACCAAGAAGATTAGTGTGTCTAATATCCTCAGCATTTACGACAAGAACTTCAAGGATTCCTACTTTCATGAGTGAGGGCAAACTTGGTTTCTGTAATTAAGGGAGCAAGACTGCAATAGAGTGATTAATATGAAGGATTTTTATGTGATAAGGATGGAAAAGGTTAATGCAGTCAGTTTTAAAAGTTTATTTAATAACACATTTACTTCAATTTTAAAGTGCCAATTGGAGTAACTTCTAGCCATAAATTCGACCCTTCAAACTCCCAAGAAGAATCCCATGTTAATGCATGGAAAATGTTTTGTATACTGAAAGTGGAACAGTGTCTTGCTTGGTCTCATCTGTATTAGTTTATTTTTATATCCAACAAGGTCTTGCTTGGTCTCAACTGTCAAGATAGATCGAGGTTTAGGTGTTGTTTGTTTTTGCAGAGGTAAAAGGTCTGCAGTCTGCGGTCCACATCTGCAGGCATCTGCAGCAGAAGAAGTGGACTAAAAGTCTGCAGTCTGCAAGAAGAAGACTGTTTGTTTTTTAACGTCTGCAGACTGTTAAAATAAACTGAAATATAAATAAACTGATTTTTTTTAAACTTAAAAGAGTTTTGCAATACTGAGATTTAAATAATTTTAGTTTTACAATACTGAAATTTAAATAATTCATACAACTACAATAATAATTTTTTTAGAAAAACAAACACCACCTTATTAATTCTATTATAAGTCTCACATAATCACATGTATTATTAGTTTTATAAGTTTTATAGAATAAAATTTATAAATGATCATTAAATTATATGATTTTTTTAAATATGCAATTATGTAATACTTTTAATTTTTTAAATATATATTCATAATTTATTTTTATAATTATATGATATTTTTAGAAAATATTTTATAATTTATAAAATTATTTTATGATTATTTTTTATTTAATTGTGATTATATTTTAAAATTTAAAAATATAATTTATAATTTTTTATATTTTAAAATCTTAATTATCAAACAATGAAATCATTTTTTATTAAGCAATGTGATTTAAATACTTACATTTTGTATAAAAAGTTTAAATATAATTTAAAAATAACAAATCCAAAAAAATATTATATTTAAACTTAAATCAAAATAATTAAAATAAATATAAAATTTTAATAATATATAAAATAATTTATATGATATAAAATTAAATATCTATAATATAATATTAAAAATTAATATTTAATTTATTTAAAAATTAATATTAAAATTAATATCTATAATATAATATTAAAAAATTAATATTTAATTTATTTAAAAAATTGATATTAAAATTAAAATCAAATATAATATAAAATTAAATATAAAACCACTTTGAAGAGGTTAGAAGATGTCTGCAGACATAAGGCCACGTCTGCGCCGCGCAGACCACGCGCAGACGGTAGAAGAGGCTTCTGTCTTCTAAAAAATAAACGGTCTGCGAAACCCAATGTCTGCACGTGATCTGCGCGGCGCAGACATAAGAGCTTTGCAGACCTTACATAGTAAAAACAAACACTACCTTGGTTTAAAGATTAGTCTTTTCATTTAGTATGATAGTTTTTCTTCTAGAGAGATGGAAGCAGATCAGTACAGCGTTTAAACTAAAGCAGATCAGCAAGCATGATTTTTTCTAAATCCAATTCTGTTTTGCCTACATTCCAGGAATAACATATTAAACAATCTATAGATTCTTGCAGAAAAATAATGTCTGAAATCGTGCACTATTGAACACTTCATTATAACTAGTGAAGGAGCTTAACAACTCTACAAAATTAAGGAAAATAATACCCGTCTCCAACTCGGTTAAAGCTTCAGGAACATGAAACATTTCTGAAGCATAAATGAAATGAGAAGATAAACAATGTTAGTAGTATACCAGAAAGATCTTGGATTCCATAAAAAGAAAAGACCTCATGTTTTACAAAATTACAAATTTTACAACGTACCACAAAATGAAAATTGCATATAGAGAAAGAATATCAATTTCTTTAACTACTGGCAATTCCTCATAAAATCAATTGATATAATGTAAAGAAGACAAACAACTGAGGAATCCAACCTTTTCTTTCTAGGCATTCTCATCCACCAATCTTCTCAACCTCTCTACATCTTCCCCTCTACCTTCATCTGCATATAGGTCTGATAAAATCATGTAATAGTGAGTACAATTCTGTGGGTCCAATGTAGCAAGCTGTTCAACAACAAACTCAACAATCTCAATTTTCCCAGGTGTTAATCTACAACCAGCAAGAAGAGCTCCCCAGATTCTTTTATCTGGTTCCATTGGCATTTTCTTCACAAAGTCTAGGGCTTGCTCAATATTACCCTGGCGACTGAGCAAATCCACCATGCATGCATAGTGCCCAAGTTTAGGAGAAACATTATACTTCTCTTTCATAGAATGAAACCAGTTCCAACCCTCATATTCTAGACCACAGTGACTACAAGCAGATAAAACTGAAAGAAAAGTAATTTCATTGGGCTTTATCCCACAATCTAACATATTTGAGAATGTCTCAAGAGCCTCAACTCCATAACCATTTAAAACATATCCATTAATCATTAAACTCCAACATATGAGATCTTTGATGGGAACTTCGTCAAAAAGAGCCCGTCCCTGCTTGACCCTTCCAGATCTGCAGTAGAAATCTATCAAGGCTGATGAAAAATAAACATTCCTCAAGTAACCAACTTTTTCTATGAACGCATGGATGCTATCTCCAAGTTCATTAGATGCTTCTTGGGATGACATCAAAGAACACATTGCAATAGACTAATTAAACTGAAGTAATCGGGTTTCGTGTTCATGCATAACATCTGTGTAAATGTATCCACAGCATTAAGAGGTAACACACTTTGGGTGTAAGCTGAGATCATTGCATTCCAAGCAATGCCATCTTTACTGCCCATGTGATCGAATACACTCTTAGCTGAACCTACCATGTCAAACTTAGCATACATCTGCAGAAGTGCAGTTGCAATGGAAACAAAATCCAAGAAGCCACTTTTCAGAATGTAACAATGAAATGCTGATCCAATTTTACTCCCTCCAGATTGTAGCATTGCCATAATCATATCCTGGACAACAAATTCATCTGGCGCAAAGAAAGACAACAGCCGCATCTTCGAGAAAACATTAATTGCTTCTATACAACGTTCATTCTCAATGTAACCACGGACCGCAATCCTCCAAGAAACCAAGTCCTTCTTCAACATCCCATCAAAAACACGAATCCCTGTCTCAAGACTCCTACACTTTGCATACATATCAACCAATGAATTCTGGACACTAACAACACGATAAAACATTCTTCTTATAATAAAACCGTGTATTTCTCTACCCGACCGTAGAGCGCCAAGATTAGCACAGGCAGGCAGAATGCTGATAATACTAATATGATTAACTTTCAACCCAAAAATCTGCATTCTTCTAAACAACTCAAGAGCTTCCAGATAGTCCTTATTCTTAACACAGGCAGCAATCATAGCACTCCATAACACAACATCCTTATCGGGTATTTGATGAAACAAACTCCAACAAGTTTCCATATCATAAACGGAATAAGACCCAATAAGAGCAGTTAAAACTGAGGGCTCTGATATAAACCCCATTCTCACCACCATTCCATGAACCATCATTATCGGAGCATCCCAATTCAGAGCATCGACGGCTTTTATTAAGCTTAAAATTGTAACATAGTTTGGCCCTTGATTACTCATCAGCAATAGCATTCTCTTGAACAAGGAAATGGCTTCCTCTGGCTGGCCTTGCCTTACCAACTTAGATAAATTGGATGTCCATGAAACCAATACATAATCATTTTCAGCATAAGAAACTGGGTCCTCGTGATTTGAATCCCTATGGAATAAAGCTGCGGTGAGTCTCGCTGGAGATTTTCTAATTCTTTGGGTAATTTCTGCAAATAGCTTCCGTGCATTGCGAGACAGTGAAAACATTTACACGAATGTGATTAAACGACGATATAATTTGCTAAACGGTATGATTTTGCTTATGGCCCAGAGAAGAGAAGATCTTAGATTACTAAAAGAAGGAAGCCCACAAAGCCTATGCATTCACCGAAGGCCTCGACTTACGCCGGCATATAAGCCCAAATGAAACTTGAGTTACCTTGCTTGGGTCTATCCATTTTGTTCGTAATAGTCCCTTTCTCTCTTTGTGCTGAGGAAATTTCTCTACAAAATTACGTTATCTAAATCTCAATTCCCACCCCAACGGAAGATTACCGAGTACTCTCTTAATTTGGAAATAAAATTGCTGGTTTCTTAATTCATTCACCTTCCAAGTTTTATATACCTTTCCGTCGATCTCCAATTATTGAAGCTCCTAACCCGATCCGATAATCCCAGGTAAGCCGTAAGCATCTTCTCATCCCTTTTTTTATATTTTTCTCTCCGATCCTTGTTGCCTCGATTTCTTTGATTGAATTTTCCATTTGCAGCACTTTCTTTATCGCTTTGCCTGTTTTCATATGATTATCTTAGCTAAATTGATTGTTTTCGTTTCATTAAGTGATTGGTCTCATTTTTCGGTGGTTGGCGCGTATAATTTTCGTTGAAGAGTAAGATTCTGGAAACTGTATTTGATTGCGGGCATTAACATGGGATTTGCCGCTCATGTAATCCACTTTTGAAAGTACAAGCTTCGTTATTAACTTATAATCTTGTTTGTTTATTTGAAAATTTATCTAATTGCAATTTGGAGAACTATTAGTGTGAAATTGTCTGGCCTGTTGATCTTTTATGAATTGTAGACTGTAAGACAAAGCAAGGTTCCCATTAAAATGGAGAATTGGAAGGAGGATCAGAAGGAATCAGTCAAATGGAACTTCAAGAGCCACTATATGGTCTTCCCGATACATCGCGCTTTTATGTTTGGCTAGAGTCCCGAGAGTGTCGTACCGCCCTTAAATTTGTTTCAAGGAGTTGGAGGGACTTGCCGCATAGTGAAGAGTGGCATGCATGTCGTAGAAAGCATAATTTGGATGAAACTTGGATCCATGCGTTATGTAGAGACAAGTTTGAGCAGATTTGCTGCTATATATTCGATCCCAATTCATCAAGAACGTGTTGGAGGCAGATGCGGGAGCTTCCGTCTCGCAGCTTGCTGAGAAAAGGTATTGGTTTTGAAGTGTTGGGGAAGAAACTTTACTTGATGGGAGGCTGTCGATGGACTGAAGATGCTACCGTTGAGACCTACTGTTATGATGCTTCGAACAACTCTTGGAGCGAAGCTAATCCCCTGTCAACTGCGAGGTAATAAACTTTCTTCTCTACTTCTTGAAGAAGTTAAGTTCGCCTGGTTGTTTAAGCACATCAACTCCCCTCCTTTCGTGTGAAGAAGGTGAAATGCAAATGCTTATTATATGTATATATTTGGATTTGTTACATCATATAACGATCTGTTTTTGCTTGCCTGTTAAGAGGATACTTTACCCTACCTCTCCTTTAGATAACTTTAAAGTGATCTTGGGTGTTTTTGTGTCAGATGCTACTTCGCTTGTGAAGTTATCGATCAGAAAATATATACAATTGGTGGATTGGGTTTAAACTCGAGCGTTCCATACTTGGGACACTTTTGATCCTTGCACAAACAGTTGGAGTTCTCACTCTGATGGAAACATTATTCCTTAAATCGAAGATTCTTTTGTGTTGGGTGAGAAAATTTATATTCGCTGTGGCAGATCAGTCATGTATATCCAGTAGTTTATGAACCATCGAGTGGCACTTGGCAGCATGCAGATGCTGACATGGTGTTGGGCTGGCAAGGGCATGCAGTTGTCGTAGGCAAGATCCTTTATGTCCTGGATGAGAGTTCTGGAACAAGGTTAATGATGTGGGATAAGGATCTTAGGGAGTGGGTTGCCATAGGGAGGCTTTTTCCGCTACTTACGAGACCACCCTGTAAGCTTGTTGCTGTCGGAAATAGCATCTACGTTATAGGGAAGGGGCGTAGCACGGTTGTTGTTGATGTCAGCAATGCAGGGAACGGCGTAGGGATGATGGTGAGTTCTTCGATACCTAAACTGACTTCAAATGACGAGATAATTAGTTGTAAATGTTTGGCCATCTGAATTATTTGATTTGTTGAAAGTCTATTGTTTCTGTAGTATTCAGCAAGTTACTGACCTCTGAAATGAAATATCATCACTTCTGTAAGTTAAACTTGTACTATCATTCACCAGACGTAATAGTTTCTCGAACAGTTGAAGCAATCATGTATCTATTTAGTTAACCCAAATGGCAACTTTTGGGCGAGTAGTTTCGGGTTGTGTGATTTTCGGATTCAGTTCATTTTGAGTTGAATTATGATCGTAATACGAACCCAGGAAAACAAACTTTTAGCCTCATTTTTTCTCATTCCTGGCAGAAGGTAAACACAAGGGAAGAAAATGTTTCTCGGTTCCCAATCAATGTGACGAGGAATAATTTGTTACATAACGAGCACAATTGATCAAACCCAACAAAGAATGAAAGAACTCTCGCATACACTCCTAAGGGGGAAAACACAATAATAAAAAAGGGCAAAGAAATCAATGACTACACATAATGATTGTTTTTCTATGGTAGGGTTACACAGAATGAATGAACACTTGGGTTACGCGGTCATTGTAGGAGCCTCGCAATCCGCACGGAGCTCTTTACCTTTTCCCAGCCACTGAGCTTCTTTTGGCTTCAAGAGTTGCGCCCTCCTTGAGTGCTGTTTGAGACTCGTTCACCATCTCGAGTGCAGTAGCCTGAAGATAGGAAGCAATGTGCCATACTGGGGAAATCACCTGGGCTTGCATAGCATCATTCAGGGCCTCTTGAGGCATGTCATTAATGAGATAACACAAGCTACGCCGTGCAAAAATAGTTGGAGAAACCATGGTACCGACATCTACAAACTGTGAATTTACAAAGAAACCGTCAGTGGGTTTCTACTATGACACTCATCACGAATACCGATAAAACATAAGGCCAAGAGTATATAACATATTAACAGGAGAATAGAAAATAAGCATGCCATATATAAGTTTGTGGAATCCGCACAAGAAATCCAAAAGGAAAGCTAGCATATAATATTATGAAGTTACAGCTAATGTTGTTTAAATTGACGGAAATATCACAGTAAGAACTTAACCTGAGTGTATAGCTTCTTTAAAATCTTTCTGCCTGAAAGCAGCATCACCCTTTTTCTTTGAATTCAAAGTTTCCTGCATTTGGTCAGTCCACATTTGGAAGGAGAGCTGCCGGAAAACGCAACAAATTTTGACAACTCAATTAACACTTAAAACTTATGATGGAATGGTATCATAGTGTAGATCCAAATTTCCATGCTGAATATGGAGACATAGCTAGAACATTATTCACTGTTATACAATAACAATAAAATCAAATGCATAGTGTAAAAATATCCATATTGTAAATACCAGTCCTCCAATATTCAGGAGTAAATGCCAAATTTGTACTGTAACTTTTTCCATCTCTACTGTTTTTCATCAAGCAAAAGGTTGAAAGTCTCGGATTTCCATCCTGCAAGAATTCTAACATATAAATCGAGGAATCATAAAAAACTGACCATTCAAAAGGCATCAGATAGCCCGATTACAAATTGTTACCTCATCAAATAGGACCCTGTAAGCATTGAGATCATGGTATAGCGCACGCCCTTTGTCTGTGCAGTATTCTAAAGCTTGTGCAAGAAAGAATACAACCCTTAATCACATGGTCCATTTCATTGGTAGTGATTCCCCTGAATTAATAAAGAAAATTACTCCAGACACTTCCATTTTGGGGATTAGGAAACATAGTTTCAAACCCATTTGTGAATACAGCAAAGCCAGACTACCCTAAAAAATGAAATAACTAATAATTAACTTAAAATAATAATTCGTTTCATGGAAGCATTTCCAACAGGACCAACAGTGAATTATAAACATAGGATTATAAGCCTTACAACGAAAAGGTGTTTTGCGAGTGTCTCATTGGGCATGTACTCTGCAACAAGCAACCTTTCATCACCTTCACAACAACAGCCAAGCAAATTAGCCAATCTATTGTTGCGTAGCTGACCAACCGATCTTGCTTCCTCCTACAGATGCAGAATAAAATAGCCCCGAGTTACAATCACTTAAAAGAAATGAAAGCAAAGCTTAGCTAAGTGCGCAAATTGTCTTGAATAAACGAAAGCAAATATTAGCTAAGTGCGCAAACGCCAATTGATATTTCCATAAATTGTCTTGAATCTGGCCAAGCCATTCTATTGAAACGTTTTAACAGCGATCCTCCTATGATTCTCTAACTTCCCTCTATAAACAACATTGGGAGCCTTCTCCATGCTCAGAAACAATATCTCTACTGCAAATCTAGATCTTGCATTCTTGAGTTGCTCCAAAGTGAATTCCCGAAACATAGGCAACTGATCAACCTCGCTACTCTCATTCTCTACAACAAGTTAAAACGTTTTAACTAATCATTCTGATTCTCAGCAACCACGTACAAAAAAAAACTTCCAAAGAAATTTTTATCATAATAATAATAATAATACCCATCAACATCAGGGGCTTCTAACATGTGGAAGATACATACACGTATCGACGGTATCATAATCTTGGTAATTCTATCATGTGGAAGTTTTGGTAGGAACAATTGGAAAATAAGAAAGCATAATATGCAGAGAAAATGAAAAACAAGGTAGCTTCAGTTCACAAGAAAGCAGAGGAAAAGAGGGCAATGGTTGAAGCCAAACGTGGAGAAGAGCTTCTCAAAGCAGGAGAAATGGCAGTAAAATATCGCGCAACTGGACAGACTTCGAAAAAGGCCCTCGGCTGTTTCTGAAAGTTACTAAATTTCCGGTCTGGTCTCAAGCAAACTCTATTAACACTGTTCTCATTGCAACACTTTTTCTTGTGTAACTCCCCGTTTTCAACTGTATTATCTCTCTCGTCTGTTTCTTT